GTGGAGGGGTGCGGCAAGATGGGCCCCGCACCTATTCTGCACTTTTTTGAGGTTACGGATACGTTCTACTTTCCGATTCGGGAGAACGCGTTTTGGGACAATGCGCGATAAAGAATGTATAGACACTGGTCGACTCTTCGGGCGAAAAGGAGAGGATAGGTACCGCTCACTTTCGCGCATGCTCCCGAAAAGCCGATTATTCTGCACACTCGATTCTATTGTGAGGGTAAGTACGAATGCAGCTGCTAGATGGTTCCTATCTCAGTTGAAAAACACCGTAGAGCAAAAAAGGTCACAGCTCATCGCGCTGCTCCGTGGCCCCAACTCCCTGAACATATGTCTACAACCGTAGTGTGAGCCACATACTAATGGGAAGAAGGAATGTCAAATCAAGAAACTAATAGAAAAAATGGCGAAAAATACATAACAAATGCGCGAAGTAGTGGAGCATCGTTAAAGCTCTCTATAGTACAACGGAACAAACTGTTATTGAAATTTTTATTCTTTCAAAGAACCAAATAGGAACGTAACAAAGTGAAAAGAAAGCTACACGATCACATCCTTCTAAGTTTGTACCAGTCCTCGACGATGGGAAGCAACACATGACGGACTGCAAAACTTCAACTCCATGTACTCGAAACCGGATCCCGTGTACACCACTCCGCACTATAACCTTTGCAAGATCATGAGAGAAATCATGCAAGAATAAGATGTAAGTTGTGAACATGAGACAATTACCGACCTGTATACACCTGGGTCCACCCTCAAGTCGTGCTAGTCTCGCCTCAGCAGCAGCTGCACGCTTTTCACGATCTGACATCGCCAAGAATGCCGCACGAGCAGCCTGAAGAGCAGAATTCAATGAATCACGTATTGGTATTTTCTACCAAAAATGCCACGTCAGCTTAGAAACAGCAGGCTATTGAATCCCGTGTTGTGAAAATATATGGAAAATCACATACCAGTTCTTCTGCCTCTTTCTTTTCCGCCTCCTTTTTAATTTTGATCTTTTCTTTTTGCCTTTGCTTTTTCTCCTTTTTCTTTTCAGTCAGTTTAGCGAGCTGTTCGTCCGTAAGTTGGGCTGGTTCCGGTATATGACACCTATCAACAAAATGACTGTTAGCCACTGTCTCTTCATGAAAGAAATATCCTATAATATCAGCTGAAAGAAATAGCTTGGTGAAAAAGCGCACCTTATCCAATTCCAGCTCTCTGGATGCTCAGTGCGAAATTGGACGAAAACCTGCTTTATGGCTTTGTTCGCCGATGAAGCATAAGGGACCAAGTCGTTCTCGTCTTTGAATGAAGGATCACACCCAGCTTCTAGCAGATACTAAAAATAGCGAACGTTAAGATGAGTGAATGGAAGACCAACTTGCGCTGTCTTTCAAGTCTGTGAATTTATTCGGTCAATGTCCCGGCTTCTTCGCCATCATGAGAGACTAACAAGAGCAATAAAAAAGAGCAAATGGCATTTGGTTTCTTGGGCACAGTGACAACACTAAAGACAGCCTCGGTTATGTAATAAATCAGCAGCGGTATCTTTCAATAAGGATCTCTGTCACCTTGACAGGATATCGCAGCCTAAACTGTATCTACGCCAAAACTGCGCGCTACTATCACCATCCGTTGGCGAAGCCCTCACCCACCCACCGCCCTCCCCCCAACTGGCTCTCCAAACTCGCTACCTCAACGTTGGCACTCAATAAGTTCTTTAGTTATTTACTTTATTTATTTCCATACACTCAAAATGCGCCCAAATAGACTAAAATGTCATATCTACGGATATTAGAGAAGAACGATGGCATAACCTTGAAATAGGCTTCATGTTTTAGTGCAGGAAATGGCACGAAACAACTACCCGAGAGTCTACTTCTCCATAATGCAGTTGAGAATGCAAGGGGTTCAAAATTGTTATCTTCGTAACCGTCCTTGCTATGCGCGAGGTGAACGGATCCGCAGCTGCAGCAGCGTGCCACTGTTTCAGCTCAATAGCGCACTGGATCGAGACTAGAAGGTAGTGACAAATGCATTCGTCTTCGAACTCCGCCAACCACATGCCTAAGGCAGCGTTCAGACTTGTAGCGCTACAGCGTCGCGCTACAGCGTCGCGCTACAGCGCCGCTTCGCAACGTACTGCTATTTCCAACGTTAGGATGATTAGAGTTGCTTACAGAGAAAAGTGGGAAGGTTGCTGGAGTTTTCTTGAGAAATTCACGGAAAGGTGAGACTGATACAGCTGTAACTATCTGACGCCATCCTTGACAGTTACTCCATTAGTCACTATTTTTCTGGTACTGCTTTTAGCGTAACAGTGTCCTTCTGTCCTATTAAGAGCATTTTCTGCAAAAAACACCCAAAGAGTACTCGCGCCACCTAAAAACACGCATGTTTTTTTTTACCGGAGACACAAGAACCATAAAGGAACTTCTTGTTTGCCTTGTGTTAACGCATTGGTGACCAGACAGTCTTCGCGTGCCTGTTGTGGGAGATAAGGCCATTTTTTTCTGCTGCCGACAAATGCGACTCAATACTGATACGCTCCTAGGCCAAAAAAAGTACAAGAAACTGTCAAAGCTTTGTTGGCTGTGAATGCCTCGAAAACCGGCATAAATCTTTTTCCTGTGATCCAGGCAGAGATTGGGGGCAAACTCGAAAAGCAGATTTCGCTCCATAATCCATAAGCGGCATTGGATTCTGTATTCATTCTTTCTGTATTCAACCCTCTTCTCTTTGTTTCTCATATTTATCTGATAGTGAGCTCCTGTTTTCTACTTTATCACATTTTAATGTAGTTTTTGATACAGAAGACTGTTATAATTGGTTTTATTTACCGTTTTTGACTTTAATTATTTGGTTTCAGAGTTGCTATTGATGTTTGATGGCTTTGCTTGATGCCTTGCAGTGGTGCCTCACGTTGACTCCGATGACGAAATAGTTTTTGGCATCCACGTACAGATGGCAAACCAACACACAGTATTCAGTCGCATTTGTCGGCAGCAGAAAAAAATGGCCTTATCTCCCACAACAGGCACGCGAAGACTGTCTGGTCACCAATGCGTTAACACAAGGCAAACAAGAAGTTCCTTTATGGTTCTTGTGTCTCCGGTAAAAAAACATGCGTGCGTGTTTTTAGGTGGCGCGAGTACTCTTTGGGTGTTTTTTGCAGAAAATGCTCTTAATAGGACAGAAGGACACTGTTACGCTAAAAGCAGTACCAGAAAAATAGTGACTAATGGAGTAACTGTCAAGGATGGTCAGATAGTTACAGCTGTATCAGTCTCACCTTTCCGTGAATTTCTCAAGAAAACTCCAGCAACCTTCCCACTTTTCTCTGTAAGCAACTCTAATCATCCTAACGTTGGAAATAGCAGTACGTTGCGAAGCGGCGCTGTAGCGCGACGCTGTAGCGCGACGCAGCGCGACGCTGTAGCGCTACAAGTCTGAACGCTGCCTAACCATAGCTGAAGGCGCTAGTTCTCTGCGTTCTCTCATTTCTCGTTGTTCCCTACCGCTGAATGCATGTTTGCTGCGTGAAGTGCTGCAGCTTGAGGAAGCATGGACTGAGTCCGGACCCTTATCGCTACCCCTCAACCTCATTTCTGCACGCTGCCAAAAGACGAAGGTCTCAGACCTACACAGCTACCAGCCCGTTCTTCTCGCACAAGCCATAGATTCTCGGTGGTGAGTGTGAAGCTTGTCTTTGGTAGCTTTTCATCGAAGCCGAAATGCAAGCCGAATGAAACTGTAAACTCTTGGACTGCTCAACATAGCGGCTCATTTGAAACAACTACCAAAGTCAAACGAAACTTGATTCAGGACGATTCCAAGAAATGATAGACTAGTACTTTCTAAACTAGTACCCCTGGCTCCAAGCCTGCCACTTTGGTTCATTTTCTAACGTGCTTTTTCGGTCAACGGTGGCGAGATACCATCACGAGTTTCAATCGTGATTTTGGTAAAGCAGTTTTTTGTACGCAAAAAGGAGAAACAGGAAAAAAAGAATTGTCTAAATTCCTGAATAAACTCACCCGCAGTGTCCTATCAGCTCCACTGCGAGCAGCCAGATGAAGAAACGTTCCATTGTCCGATGAAAAGCGATTCGTATTCAGATAGTTGAAAATCTGCAAATCCCTCAGGTAATTTTGAAAAGAGAAAGCCCAAAAATATTTGTGTCTGATGAAAGACACTCAGCACGATGATCACCTCTTTTTGCTCCTCTGCACCACGTTCAGATATCAATGCTTTGAGCTCTTCTTCTTTGTTCTCTTTAACCATGGAGTAGAGTTCTCTCCGGGTATCTCTATTCAGTGCTGACCATCGATCATCTACAGGTTGTTGTTCTTCTACAGGTGCCACTGGTTTCAAATGATCCTTCTGAAACTCTGTTTGATATGTCTGTTAAACTCGTTAATCAATGAATAATTACATGATAACTCGTATTCAGTGTTAATATTCTCACTTTTCGCTCTTTAGAGGGCGTCGTTTCCTTTTCTTCGGATCCGGGAGTCCACTGCGTTTCAACTCGCTTCTTCTTCAACAAAGTCTTTACCCTCTGCTTTCGCTTTGACCTTTCAGCGAGGAAGTCTTTCATAGGTCCATGGCATGTGACCGATCCTAATCGTTCCCAAGTCCTTCGAACTTCGTCCAAAAGTGGACGCTTTGTTTCGAACGGAATGGTTCTGAAAACGAAAACCTGACGAAGAAAATGGAAATTGTAAGAGTCATTAGCCAAGTGGGTTGATGTATAAAAATTACACCAATAAAGTGAAATTTCAGCATCCATACCTCAGTCTTGGGTCCCTCCTATCAAATCCATTCTCGTCAATATCATGAAATATCACACGTTGGTAACTGGCACATCGAATAAATATCAATGGTGTGGCTGCGAGAAACTCCGACCAGGTTCCTAACACTTTTACAATATCTTCAGCCAGTGCACGTTCATTGTATCTGGAATGCACACACATCTTCGTGCTACTGTTGCACAACAAGCTTCTGTCCTGT